TAAGTACCAATTACAAAAGCAAAATGTATTTGCTGAAATACACGAAATAAGGAAAATGATTTACTTTTTAATTTCCTGCGCTATATTTTGGCCAATAAAAGATGAAAAGTACGTAACAGTAAAGAATTAAATAATATAGTCTATATAATACATTAAAAAAATGTATCTTATGTGAATCTGATTTCTATAAAACATTCAGATAACAAAAAACTTTCTAAAAAAAACATGCACTGTGCAACTGTTTGTAAAAAAATTGATAATTATGAATGTCTATTTATAAATATATTCAAATGTATTCAAATGATAGAAAGAAACATACAATAATTATTGATTCCACAAGCACATCGAACAATATATTACCTGTTTAGGCTTATCTTGGGAGCCATATTTGCCATCAATTTTATCGGCTCCTTCCTAAACGAATGATTTGATGATTGAACCACAAGAATTTAGGGGAAACATTAAATACCATAATAAAATTACAAATTATAACTTGATCACACAATTAAAGATCTTGGGACATTACATTTATGTTTAAAGGGATATGGTACATTACAAATGATAATTTTATATACATTTTATGAACATTTGATAAATAGCATAATGAATAAGACATAAAATCTTAAAATTGACAAATTTTTATCTTCTTAATAAAAAAAAATATTACTATTAAAGAATGTCGGAAAAAAGTATGGTGTAATACTTTGACTATTTAATACATATATACATAAGAAAAACAAGTAATAATAAATATAAGTAAGAAATACTAACTTGTTTGGGTTTTTCTTGATTTCCATGTTTAATATCTTTTACTTTTCCTTCCTGCGTCTTATAAATAGTTACTGGTTGTTTAAATATAGATGCTGTTTGTCTTATCGGTGGTACTAACGATGCATCATTTCTGACTCCGCGACTAAAAAACAGATATCATAAATATATATAAGGTTAGAATAAGCAATAAATGTTCGTACATCATTGTAATCGACATAAAATATATATAGATTTTTGTCAATTCTTAAATACTATACATATACTATATACAATATGTATATATTATTGTAATATAACGTTTTAAATAAATTTTTAAAATATGGAACATACCTGTAATAATAAACGTCAACTTTTCCAGTAGATGACAATTGATTTTGGCTTTTTCTCGAAGCCTCTTCTCTGGACGGCCAATTTGTTGGCAGTGCCGATGGATATTCTTTTTTTCCACTGACATATTCATTTTGCAGAAGTGTTTATTTCAATATATTCGCACGTACTTTGAAACTATTTAAATAATTAACGACCGGGAACACAAGCCAACTACCAGTGGTCATATTGATGCGTTCCGCTAAATTCGAGTAGGTTAGTGCAGTATCAGTTCGAATAATTATCTACATGGTGGCGGTACTATCTACACACTGTTATTGAACCATCATTTGTAATAAATACTAAAACTAGTGTGATAATTTATATTATATGTAAATTAAAAAATACAATTTATGCCATATTTTTTTTATTATTATATTATTCTTAATATTCAAATAAGAAAAAAATTGAATTACACAGATTTTTTTCCTACTACAACCATCTAGCGGTGAATATAGTAATAATAAGTAATTTTTGAAAACTATACAATTAATCGACGAGCCATCTAGCGGTGAATGAATAAAACTAATAAATTTTCCTAACATTTTAATAAATTTTTTGTTTCATGCTTAAAATTTAGTTATATATATATATATATATATATAATAAA